CGGTAGGGAGAAGTTACATGGGATATTATTCAAATGAAATTTAAGTACCTATTGACAAATCGGAAAACAATATCACTTTCACATGTAGAGAAAAGATAAATTACACGAAATCCATTTATTCAAAAAAAAAAAAAAAAAAAAAAAAAAAAAAAACACCGAAAGCCATATCAAGCATATACTATATCTCCAGCACCCCAAGATATTAAGGGGGAAAGGAGGAGAGAATCATTCCCTTTTCTTATTAAACTGAAACTATCTCAAACTTTTTTTTATTTTTTATTATTTTTTTCTGTGTACCAATTTTTTCTTTTCTTAAACTCATTTGTTGCTTCACAAATGAGTTATACCTTTTTCCTAATTTACTCTTGTTAAAGTAAGTAATTTTCTCAAATGCGTATTTACCCTTTTTTTTTTCTTGCAGTCGTTTTTTCCTGTCATACAACCTTCTTAATTAATATTTTTATATGTATCTCATAAATAATTTACAATCTAATTTTCCCATTTATAATTTTTTTTCTCTTTTATATGTGCTCTACTAAACTTTCTTTTCCCTAAACTCAACTATTTAGGAAAGTAATAAATAAGTACAACTAAGTTTTAGAAAAAATATAAGATTTTTCGCATTTAAAAATACAAGAAATGCACGGCGATATGTGCGTGATAATAATTAGTATATAATAAAAAGGATAAACATAGCGTTGCAAGGATGTATATGTCATTTTCAACCAGTCCAAATTGTTTTGTTTGCCGCTTTTCTTCATCATCAGGCGTTGAAATTTTCATGTATGGACCATAAAGAAGAAACAAGAAAATGGTATATGATATCCAAAACCCAAAATAAAACCTAATATTAGCTTAGTTTAGTAGTGCTGTAGATTTTGAAAAAATTACTTTGAGCTGTGCTGAAAGAAGAAGCAGTTATTACAAAAAATAGCTGAGTGTTTGGTAAACTATAATTATAGTAGCTGTGTTGGTTCCAAAATCAGTGTAATAGCGTTTGATAAATTATAAGGTTAAATTGTTGTGGATAATTAAAAATTACGACTATATTATATTATATTATAATATAATATATAATATATTATAAAATAATAATTACAATATTATATTATAATTATAATATCATATTATAATTATAATATCATATTATAATTATAATATCATATTATAATTATAATATCATATTATAATTATAATATCATATTATAATTATAATATCATATTATAATTATAATATCATATTATAATTATAATATCATATTATAATTATAATATCATATTATAATTATAATATCATATTATAATTATAATATCATATTATAATTATAATATCATATTATAATTATAATATCATATTATAATTATAATATCATATTATAATTATAATATCATATTATAATTATAATATCATATTATAATTATAATATCATATTATAATTATAATATCATATTATAATTATAATATCATATTATAATTATAATATCATATTATAATTATAATATCATATTATAATTATAATATCATATTATAATTATAATATCATATTATAATTATAATATCATATTATAATTATAATATCATATTATAATAATAATATTAGAATTATTAATATAATTATGATATTATTTGTTACAATATAACTATTATATTATATTATATTATAATATGAGTCTGAATTTTAATTTGAGAAGATTGTAAATTTTAAATTTCATTAGGGGTATTATTGGTATTATGAAAGTTTCATTAATTGTACTATGTTGATTCCTGCACAATCTAAAAGTTAAAGTTGTCTTTAGGCTGCTTCTAATTTTGGCTGTAGATTCTTAAAAAATTCTTCAAAAAGCACTTTTGATGAGATTTACTAAACACTAAAATCAGCTTCTGCTACAAGCAGAAGTTGATTTTGGGAGGAAAAAGCAATACCAAACTAAGCCATTACATAATATTGAAAAAGAAACCCCCCAACATTAGAGAATTCTGAAGGTGACAATAATTAAGGCCATTAGCTTCTACGCCTTTCATGTTATCTATTTTGAGAAACTGTCTTATTTACTATTTTTGTACCCTTTCGCTTCCAAGTTTCAATTTCACTTGTCCAACAATTCAACGTTTGTGATGAACTAGAAAATAAGGGGAAAATTATGTCCATGTTGTAATTTTTCATTAATTGTAGAGGTGTGTTTTTAAAGATCTGTATGTGTTCTCATTTCTTATATCAATTTCCTATTATAAGGGTCCTGTGCATGTTTTCCTTCCCTCCTAAATTTCGTATAAGTGGTGGAATTGCTTGTATCTAATATCTCCTTGTTTTGGAATATACTTTTCTTTAAAAAATAAATAAATAAAAATAAGATTCAAAAATCAACGTTTTCAAAGGTCTAATTTGAACGACTTTTTTCCGCTTGTGACCCCCATCTTTCATAATTATGACAATCAACTTCCTCCAACTGTTCTTCGAAGACTGTTCAACTCTTTTTTTTTAATTGATTTTTATTTCAATTTTTGTGGCTGAATTTAGACGAAAACCATGACAATGGCCACCACCTACTCGAACAACTTTGTGGTCGTATTAATAGACAGTCTATATAGAAGATGATGATCGCCTTTTTTCAAGTTTTGTGCACGTTTTAGAAAGGTCGTTAAATTTCCATGCACAATCCTGCTCTTTTAGCCTTCTCTAGATGCCTCTAGAATCATGACAAGAACTTATATGAAGGAAAATAAGGCTGTCTTTGTTAGAGAGTTTTTTCTTATAGCTTTTTTTTTCTTTGTTTTTTTTTTTGGGAGAGCAAGATTGGCATTATAAGGTCTATCAAAAAAATTTAAACGTTATAGAAAATGACTTTAAAAAAGAACTAATATTTATCTTATAAAGTTCAGGAAGGACGACCAATATTAGTACTCTCTTTGTATGCTATTAAAGGGGTCATTCAAATACTGATAAGAATATTCCTTAAAGACTCTACCATTCAAACGAAAAGCGTGTAATCCCAACCTTATTGAATGTATAGAGACAAAGGTATGTGAAGACATAGCCCTAACCACTCTAAATCGATTATTAGAGTGACAATAAACAAATCTTTAAATTTAACACCTTTAAAGGAATAACCCAACACTCGAATTCGTGATTACAAACTTAGCACGGAATTCACCCATTGTTTATTTTATCGATTTGAGTTTTCAATTTTAAGTTTTTACAGTTAAAAGCTTTCAGAAAATATCGCATCTCAGATCGAATTGAAAACTCAAATCCAAGAATGTGGTTAGACTATTCTTTTAGTCTTTTAAAATAATTTAAGAAATGATTACTCCACCAAAAAAAAAATTTAAATTTTAGAGGTGAAAAAATGAGAATCTATTAATCTAACGTTACGACATGAAGTGTACTAGTCAAGACGGTGGTCTTACAACATTCTTAGGGCTTGTTTAGTTCATCAACTCAAACTGTAGAGATTTGAACCTTTTTGGTTAGAACTTTAGAATTTAAACTGTAGTGATTCAAACTGTGATCAAAACTGTTGTTTAAATATGTAAATAAATTGTAATTTGCATTAGAAATAAAATTTGAGTTGTGTTTGGATAAAGTGTTAAAAATTGTCATTAGAATCTTACAGCAAATCTTATAAAATCTCATTATAAATAACATTAAAAAATATACAATATGGGTAATGATTTGTTATTCTCTTCATCATAAATATATTAAAAAAATCATCTTAATCGGAATTAAAACTAAGAGGTCATGACAATTTTAAAATTGAAATTGAAGCAAAGAGAAAAAGTAGAATATAAAACTATTGAATTATTGACAGTAATTTAGATTGTTAGAATTTAAAAAATGAGTAAATTTTAAAATTAACAATTTAAATTATTCTGTTAATAATTTGAATTGTCTTTAAATTTTTATCTTCTAAACACCAGTTTAAATCTTAAAATCTGAAACCTAAACGATAGTTAAGTTGTTAAAACAAAGACGGGCTTAGAAAAATTCTCAACAACGTATTACGCGACTTATGAGCACGGCCGTATATAATATTTCTTTCTGGGAGCTTACGTCTAATACGCATATATCTTGTACTTTCGTCAATTACGTCAAATTCTGAATGACAAGAATTTTCATTCTTTTATATATATATTTTTTCATTCTTTCCTAGAGTTCCTTCTTTATTAAAATAAAATAATTAATGACTCGTTTAATTTATTAATTTAAATTTTTAATTTGAATTAAAGATATGATTTTATGTTAAAATTTTTTATTATAATAAAAAAATTAAATGTGATTATTTTTAAAAAAATTTTATTGTAATAAAATTTAAATTTTAAATTCGAATCATAAAATAAACGAGATTTAATAACAAAATTCCCACTAATTTGTATTAGTTCCCCGAACCACCTCAATCACAATAAAAATCTGATAATAGTAAACTAAATAAACGAATAAAAATCAGGGCAAAAAAAAAAAACAAACTAATAAAAAAAAAACTTCTTTCGACTTTCAGTCTCTGTGTCGCGTTAAGCGAGTCTTAACCGTCCGGCGCAAACGGTTTTTAAAAGACTCCTTTAAGCCTTTCCGTCTTTCTCTCAACGGCCAGTCTGCCACAATATGTAGTTTTTAATTTTAGTATTTAAATTTTAAATTTTTTTGTAAAAAAAATATAAATTATAAATTTATATGCAAAGAAACGGGTTTTATTTTTGTAGCCTTTTAAACACGATTTCTTTTTAGAGGGTAGAGAATTTAATCATCATTATTAATGCAAAGAAAACCTTTTGGTTGGTGGGGTCCCGTTTCTCGTTTTGATTGCTGATTTTCCAAGTTCCACCAACAAATTTTCCCTTCAAAGTCTCAAAAAATTTTCTCCACAAGTAAATACAGAAGAAAAAAAAATTCTCACATTAAGAGGTGAAAGGTCCACTTGCCTTCATTTCAAAATTTTTAACTTCTTTATTTATATAAAAAAAAAAACCACTAATTGGTTTTGATTCTCTGTTTGTGATAAGATTCTGTTTCATTTCTGTCTTCCATTATCTGTTGGCTTCAACTCGGCAATTATTTTTATTTTTATTTTTATTTTTTTGTGTGTGTTCAGAATTTTGGTTCTTCCATGGCGTGGGGTCGTCTTGGATCATTGTTTTCCTTTTGTAATTTCAGGAGTGTCTTTCAGGTTTGTAGTCCACTATCGCTTTTCATATGTTCTCTTTTTTTGGAATTTTTCATATTATTGTTTTTGTGTAATAAAGTGAGTTATTAAGGGGGGGAAAATTGTTAACGAAAGTATAAAGGTGTCACCACTTTCTTCCCCCTTTTTTTTTTTTTTTTTTTTTGGGATACCTTTCTTCCCCCTTTTTTTTTTTTTTTTTTTTGGGAATGTTTGTTTAATATGATTTACACATGTTTTAGAGCCTTTGGGATTGACTGCAGAAGTTAAAGTGTTTGGTTGGTCTTGACTGAACAACTTTTTTCTGGTTCCACTCTTTTGGTTCCTTTTAAATTAGAAATGGTTTTGCCTCTTAAAACTTAAAAGAACTAGTAAGTCTAGACTAAGCAGAAAAGAAACTGCATGATATGTGGGATTATGATATATATATATATATATAAATATTTGTTGGTTTTGTTGAATTTGCCTTCTGGGATTTTTTGTCCTATGTTTTTGCTGTATAATTACGAAGGATTTGTCCTCAATGAGCTTTCTTATGAAATAAGAAAAAAGTGCTCTAGGAAAAGTTTGACCAAGTTTCTGGTGTTAACAAATTGGAAGCAAAAAAAATAAAGTAATCTAATATCGTCTCTACACAAACAACCCCGTTCGTTTCGCTGATTCGAGTTTAAAATTTGAGTTGAGATGTGATTTTATGTGAGAGCTTTTTACTGTAGTAAAACAGTTAGATGTGACTGTTTGTGAGAGCTTTTTACTGTAACAAAACTCGAATTCTAAATTCAAATCAGCGAAATGAACGACGCCAAATAAGTTACTTTTTTGGTTAAAACTCTACCTATAACTACTATATGCGGCGTTATTTTACATGATGTGAAACTCATGTTAGTTTTTACATATAACTAGGTGAGTGGTGAACAAAGGCAGATTGATCTTGGTGCGCACACAATAAAATCCCATGGCGCCGCGGTCGCGAGGAACCACATGCATGATTGGACTATACTGGTGTTTCTTGGAGTGATTGAGATCATTCTGTATGCCATTCATCCGTTTTACCGCTTTGTCGGAAAAGACATGATGGATGACCTCAAATACCCCATGAAGGACAACACTGTGCCGGTTTGGGCTGTCCCGGTAAGGGTAGTCCTTTTTTCGTTTAATGAAGAAAGAATGAAGGAATTGTGAAGTTATACTTACCCCATTTCTAGATTCTTCATGTTCTGGTGATAAATCAAAAATCAAGAGAGAAATTCTTGATTAAGATGTTTAAGGACACACTAGAGCAATACCATATTATGGTATTTTGTATGGTTAATAATGGTTGATTTTCTGGTTGGTGATGATATTGATCAGATGTACGCAGTTTTGTTGCCTATTGTCGTTTTCCTTCTGTTCTATTGGCGTAGGAGATGTGTCTATGATCTGCACCACAGCATTCTAGGTAATATAGCTGAACATTCTGTTGAGGGCAATAATATGCAAGGGCTTCTTATAACTACATTACAATCTAATGAAATGAAAATGCAGGCCTTTTATTTGCTGTGCTGATTACCGGGGTCATCACGGATGCGATAAAGAATGCAGTTGGTCGGCCTCGGCCAGACTTTTTTTGGCGATGTTTTCCTGATGGAGTTGAGGTATTAGCCCCTTAAGTTCTTATTAATGTTTCATTACGCGATGCCATTTTTCCCCCTTAAGCTTTTGCCATTTGTTTGTTGTTTTTATTCTTATCTGAAGCTATTTGGGATGGAACTAATTTCACTTTTCTCATTTGTTTTCGCAGGCATATGACCAATGGGGAGATGTAATATGTCATGGTAAAGATAGTGACATAAAGGAAGGACATAAGAGCTTCCCAAGTGGTCATACTTCATGTAAGCAATATCTACTGCCATTTTCCTACATAATCAAAATGTATATTTGCATGTATATTACGGCCTCGTTCGTTTCGATGATTCGAGTTTAGAATTTGAGTTGAGATGTGATTGTATGTGAGAGCTTTTTACTGTAGCAAAAAAGTTAGATGTGATTGTTTGTGAGAGTTTTTTACTGTAGCAAAACTCAAATTCTAAACTCGAATCAGCGAAACGAATGAGGCCGTAATTTGTTTCTTCCCAAATATGCTTACCAGTGTCACTTTTATGTGCAGGGTCATTTGCAGGATTAGGCTTTTTGTCCTTGTACTTGTCAGGAAAGATTAAAGCGTTTGATAGAAGAGGGCATGTTGCAAAACTGTGCATTGTTTTCCTTCCTCTTCTTGTGGCATCTCTAGTTGGAGTTTCGAGAGTCGACGACTATTGGCACCATTGGCAAGACGTGTTCGCCGGAGGGATTCTAGGTCTGCGTGTCTATCTTTTCTCAACTTTGAACAACAAAACATATTTCAATGAAATGATTTCAGCAGACCTAAATGGTTCTTAATTCTATGATTGCAGGGCTTGTTGTGGCTACATTTTGCTATTGTCAGTTCTTCGCTCTTCCTTACCATGAACAAGGTAAGTTTGATTTTGGGTGTCAAGAGTAGTAGTAAAGTACCCATTTAGTCATTTATTTATAGTGTTTAATAACCTTACAAAAGAAGGAAAAAGAACTACTTGAGAGGCCAATATCTTTTCATTAAAAAAATATATAATACAATTTTATCTATCGTCATTGTGTTTTCTTGACAAGTAGTTTTTCGATATTCACTACAAGACTACAACAAATAATCCTTTCAATGACCGCCGAAAATCGTCATTTAATCCATAATCAATTAAATCTTGACTTAAATTACGGTTTTAAACCATTGTCTAATATGTGTTTGGCCTCCCTAGTTATCCCTAATGGTGAATCTGGCAACATGGTTTTACAAGTGACGGCATTGATTGATAATGGGTAGTCTGAAATTAACACTTGTACAAAAACTGATTCTAAATTACCTCTTTTTTTTTTTTTTTTTTTTCTTTTTTCCTTTTTTTCCCTCATCTAATTCTAAACTCTTGTGAATTCAGGATGGAGACCTTATGCATACTTCAGGGCATTGGAGGAGTCACGTGGCAATTCAACTGCAGTGGGTCCTACAAATTCAATGAATGTGCAATATCATCAGAACTCAAATGGACAATCAAGGGGCCCTAATGGTGAAATGTTCACGGCATTCTCTCTGGACCAAAACTCAAGATCAACTTTGGATGACCCAGAATTAGGAAGAAGATGATCATGGTCATGTATGATTTTGCTCTCTTTGTTATTTGTTTGTTGCTTTGTATATATATACGTGTGTGTGTGACAATTCTAGTTAGCTTCTTCTCTTGCGTTCACTCTGTTTTTAGCACCATATATACAACTAGCTAGTTTGTTTTATTATTGCAGTTTGTATAAAGTACGAGTCTGATTCCGTCTGTTTTTCTTTCCTTTCTTTTTATGGTTGGATGTGTACTGTAGTAAATCCGGTCAAAATCACATTATTTGATGAAGAACGTGCAAAAGTAAAAGTGATAGAATTCGATACATTATAATAGCCGGAGCCGGCTTGAGACTGTATAGGCGAAAATTTTATATTAGGCCTATTCATATGCAGTGCTGAACTTTCGGGTGGCAGGCCTGCCCGATGCCCGAAAATTTTCGGGCACGGCGGGCAGGCCCCTCTCGCCGCCCGAAAATGCTTTTCTTCGGACACGGGCTCGGATAGCCCGAAAAGAGTAAGCTCCCCGACAGCCCGCCGCCGTGGAGAAGCCGTCCCCCGCCGTTCGCCGGATTTTTTTTTAATTTTCCGGCAATACCCGAAGCTGCCCGAATTGCCTGAATTTTGGTGACCGTTGCCTGAATTTTGCCCCATGCCCGAAAAATGTCCGATTTTTTTGACCGTTAACCCGAAAAATGCCTGAATTTTGAAAAAAAACGGTCTTCTGCCCGAACCCGAATTTTGCTCGAATTTTTGAACCCAACGGTCGGATTTTGTGCCGTTGCCCGATTTTTGCCCGAACTGTCCGAAAATTTTGTTGCCGTTGGACCCGAATTTTTGGGAGAAAATTTTTTTTTTTCAACCCAAAAATTTTCCTATAAATACCCCTCCTCCCCCCAACCATTTTTCTCACCCCAAAACTCTCATTCTCTCTCAATTTCTCTTAATCTCTCTCAAATCTCTCTTAATCTCGCTTAAATCTCTCTCGAATCTCGATCTCTCTTAAGCTCTCTCAAAGTGCTCTCAATCTCTCTTATTTTTCATAATGGCTTCTTCTGGTTATGGTGGTGATATTCCCGTTGATGCCCAATTTAACATCGAAGAAGGGCAATTTCCTAATGTTTTTCAATCGCAGGAATCGCAAACTATGGAAAGAGTTGCTGATCAAACTGCGAATCCGACCCCTGGTGGACGTACTAGAGGTCGGGGACGCAATGGTGGTGGCACAAGTGGCCGTGGAGGAGAGGCAAGCGGTAGTGCTAGTGCAAGTGTTGCAAGTTCTAAGAAGAAATGCAAGCGCACCTCAGCAGTTTGGGAGCACTTCAACAAATTCGAGGACATTGACAATAACAGTAACATTAAATACGTAGCTCAATGTAAATATTGTGGTGAGAAATTACAAGGTAACACTATTCACGGCACTACACACTTAAGAAGGCACTTTGAAAGGTGTCTTCAAAAGCAAGGAGGCGGAGATCAACTCCGC